GATTCAGATTTGCTCAAAAGGGTTATAACTGATGACGAATCATGAATATATGATTATGACATCGAAATCTAAGTCCAGTCGTCCCAGTGGAAGAGATCAGGAGAGCCAAGACCAAAAAAGCACGCAAGTTCGATCAAATGTCAAGGTTACAGGGTCATACTGTCAGTAAGGAGTATTATTTTGAAGGTATGCACCGCTTGAGACAAGCAAAACGAAAAAACTTTTCAGTATTGTGGAATTTGCATTAAGATATAGCACCTTTCCAATCGTTATTGCTCAGTCGTATTTTTTTGTTCAAAGATAACACCGTATTCAGCAGATTTGACCCCCGGTGACTTTTTTCTGTTCTTAAGAGAAAAACCTCATGAAGAAACTGCGTTTTGCGACGATGGAGGAGACAAAAACCCAATCGCTGAGAATTCCAAGGACACCCTGAAAACTTCATATCAGAACTATTTCGAGTATTGTTATAAACGCTGGCACCGGTGTATGATATCTAAAGGTAACTACTTTGAAGAGGACTGAATGAAAATTGTAGAATAAATGAATATTTTTGAAGAAAAATGAAAATTTACCTCATTTTTTTAACGGACACCGTATATCATTCCATATTAGATCAATAAAGTCATTAAAATCGAAGCCCATGGAACATTTGTTCTTTTGGTATGAAAAATTGATGACAATGTCTGTTATTCCGTGAAAGAATGTTTTTTCAACCTCACAAACGGAAGTCGAAGCTGTTGTTCATTTCAGAATGCATAATTTTTTAAAATTCTGCATTTCTGTCTCAAGGCAGTTCGGTTTATTCGTAAAGGCTGAGATACGTAATCTAACTTTTTCTCCTCTTATCCTCTTTATGACCCGATTAAGATACGAAAGTGAAGTTTGTGGGTTTAATCTTCAGAAATGAAGAGATCAGTTGAGACGAGTAATATTGCTATAGGCATTATGTGTTTGAGAATCTCACTAGGATTATTCTCGTGCACCCTCATATCCTGCGTATCAGAATGAAATGGTTAAGCATTAAGTTCGACTATGTGCCATTGCCGTACGAAATTTTCGATTTGACAATTCATATTCATTTTCCTGAAGGTATAGCTTTGCATGTTTCTTATATGATTCAGTCGTGTTTATAATTTTCCTAAATGATGATAATGCTATCATGAAAACTTTCATACAATCGTCACACAAAATATATTTATATGTTGAATGATTTTTTTGTAGGAGATCGTTAATATCGTAATTTAAAATATCTTTTTTTTTTCTCTCGATATATCTCTTTATCGAACGCATAATTTTGTTTCTCTAGAAAAAATGAACTAACACAAACAGATGTAGATCCTGCTGATATATCGAAGATAGAAAGAGTCAGCAGTTGGTTGAATTAGTTGAATTAGTCGGTAGCTACAGCTAGTAATAAGAACTTTACATAATTCACAATCCCACCACTAACACAAGCGGATGGTTAAATTGCAACAACAGCAATAGTTAAAGCAAATCTACTAGCTGAACGTGCCCTGGATTGGCCGTCGATGGATATCTCTCAAATACTTTCACCATCAACGCTGGTGTTCCCCAGGGATCCATATTGTCTCCAACCTTCTTTTTATTGTGTATCAACGACTTATTGGAAAACACCAAGAATCCAATATGTTGCTTTGCCGATGACACCATTTGTACTCCAGGACATCGGCTAAGGAGGCACATCTTCACCGGCAGCAGGAGGTTGCATATCGTAATGAGGATCTAGAAGTGACTTCGAACTGGGGTGAAAAAACCCAGGTTTCGGTTTTCTCCAAGAAAATGAATATTTCCAAACCGGATATAATAATATCAAGTCAGTCAATTCCATTTTCTGCTTCGATAAGTTCATTGGGGATTTAAATGGACACCAATATGTTTTGGTACAATCATGTCGTTAGAATTGCGAAGGCTGCATCTCAGAAGCTTGGAACACCGTTCCGAACCAGAAAACTGTACACACCTCAGCAATTTTGATGCTTCATAAAGCTCAGATCAGACATGACCATCAGACCAACCGCCTGATTGGAGATGCTATTCATTTTCAATTCTTCGTTTTCAGTTGTTTCAGGGATTTATATAGTAGACAATGGAAGTCCGAACTAGTGAAATTCATCATGAAACATTGTCAATCACCTTCAAGCAAACTCTTTCATCTGTCGAAATGCGTGTATGTTAAATAACATTCCTGAGAACGTTTTTCCAAATGGATTTAATCTTCAGTGATTCAAATCCAATGTAAATCGCTACTTCGCACAGGTACCGCTCTGAGATCACCTTGAGCATTCTCCTGTATTGCTTGTGTTTCATTCTTAAAAAGTATATCAGTTATTCTGAAGTCAAAACGCAGCGGTTTTCCTCTGTACGGGAATTATTGCCCTTCAAAAGTCGAAAAAAGGCCATACTCCATCTTCTTTTCCACACCAAAATACGTTAGAGATGATTTCATTCGTCATATCAATTTTGCAAATCACTTCATCTTGTTTTATACTTTTTCCAGCATAAATTTATATTTTTCCAAACGTTTTTTTTGGTTTGCCTTTTTTTTTTGGTTTAATTTTGGTATTTGAGTTTTGCCCTTTTTCTTTTTGCCAATTGGTTTTGTTTTTTGTTCCCCCCTTTGGGTTTTGTTGCCAAACCATATTATTGAATTTTTTTTCTTTTTAATTCCAGGTTGTTGGCGGTTCCGAATTGGCTTTTTCCTTTTTTTTTGCCACTTCCTTCATTTTGGTTTTCAATTGCGGGGGTTTGCTTGGAGGATTGTTGTTCTCTTTTGAAAAGGTTTGGTTTCCATTGTAATTTGTACAACTTTGTCAACTCGGAATCGGGATACAAGTATGGATCTGCCACCCAAGTCAATATTTTTTATCGTGTCTAGGACTGTGTGGCGTTAGGCTGGCTAAAAATGATACGTCGATATACCACCCAAGTCAAAATAACAGGTTGAAACGTGCGAGAATTGTGTGAAATTAGGGTGGATAAAAATGAGTAACTGAAAACTTGATTTCTGAGCTTTCTTCAGCAATTGACGGTATTGATCAGTTGAAGAAATAATAAAATCTAAGCGTAACACGAGTAAATATGAAGACACTATGCCCAACGATTTTATTATTTTTAATCTGATAAATACAGTAGATTGCTGAGGAGGGTGATGTGATGACTTCTATTTAGGACCTTGAGAATTATTTTTAGTTTTCAGTACGCCATCGACATCATTATTATCTTTTTTTTTTTTCAAAATCGTTCAACAGAAAACAATTCTTTTACTCATTTTATTTTGTGAAAAAATATATTTTTGTCAGAGTTGCTTTCTGGTAGTTTGTTGTGGAATTGAAAGATTTGAGATTGAAATTTCATTGTTTGTTTGAAGGTGGTTAACAATGTTTCGTGGTGTATTTCATCAGTTCGGACTTCCATTGTCTAATATAATATTGAAAATTCATGTTGGTACGACTGTTATCTTAAATGTTACAATTCTGAATGGGGTTTGGATCATTTCGTTTGTTTTTTGATACCGTATTCAGAAAAGAAAACATGGATTGAAAAAATAAGTTAACTGAAACTTATTTTCCACTATATAAGTCAAATGATTGGCCTGGTAATATCAACTGTTGATATACAGTGCATTTCTTTAATGTCGTCCCTTTCTTTATTTTTTGAACGGGTCAACTCAAAAAGTTGAAATTTGGGATAATGAAATTAATGCATGAATACTTTATTTTGAAGTGAAACTGAAAGATGGAACTTTCAAGATGGCGACTGGGTGCCATCTGGGAAAAATTAAATGGAAAAGGGTGTGTTGTAATATATTATTTTGAAGCTCCTGACAAATACTTCACAACCCTAGAATATGAAATCAATATATTCACCAACTACAAAATGGCGGAACAATTAATAATTTCCTGGAGATAAACACATTGATATCGATATTTCTAGAAATATGACTTTTTATCTATCATATGGCAATTCCAAGTTAAGTTATTTTTTGTTTATAAAAACAACAAAAAATGTCAGTACGACAATGAACAGAATTGTACAGTTGGAATATTTTCATTTAGTTTTCAGTTTCACTAGTAGAAAGGTACCACGTCAACAATCTCTAAAATGGTCAATTCTAGTACATTGGAAGAAAAAAAAAATTGAAACGATTTTCATTTACGGTGCGATGCGTAACTTCCGCGAAATCGAAAGAATTTTTAACGAATGTTTTCTGAATCGTTCAGTACACACAAGTTTGTTCTGATGAATAATGAGTATACTCGTATACATGCTCACTCTCAAACTTGAATTGATCATATATTTCTGAAAACTATCGAGTGTCCGACAGAAACTCTAGTGTCCATGGTTGTGAATTTCATATCACTAATCATCAAGCTACTGTAATCTGTTCTGAATCAACCGGTGAAAAGTCCAGTTTGCAATCTGGGAATAAAAAAAATTCCCTGTAATCGAAATATGAATAATAATCGACTGATGAATAAATTATCATTATCATTTAGATTGTCTGAAAGAACAATTCGTTCAGGCCAGTCTCAAATTACCTACACTGTAGGTTAATGGACTGACATCTATCAGAAAACAACTACTCCCCTGGCTAATACCACGAAGGGCGTTGGATTATATCAGACAGATGTCAGTGCATGACGTTATTTCTGCATGTGCTGTTGGCGAAACAACTGCCGGAGACTGCCCTGAACGAATTGTCCTTTCAGATATAATTTGATTCACACTCCAAGTATGCCCACTCTATTTGTGAAGTTATTATCATTTATTCATTTCATGACTGTATTTCTGGATAACACGGCTTTTACATGTATTGATGATGTGCAGGATATTTGAGATTTCAGCACACAAAAGATATTGATGAAGACTAGGTTTCCTGCAGTTCGTCCACACCCAGCTTTCAGGCTTCCTGAGAATGATTGCGTTTGATATCTGTATTGTGAAATGCTCAGACTTATAATGTTCAGTTCAACTCTTCTGAATACTGTGCATTGTTTTTTGAAACAAGTCATATCCTTTCTTACGTGGGTAGATATTATCGAGAATATCAGTTGTTCCTGGACTGTTGGTAGTCGATTTTCAGACATATCCATTTTGTTCGGTAATTAATAATCCACAACAAGTATGGCATGAATAAAATTCAAGAATGAATTTTGTGTGTGAGAAAAATTGTGTGATTTTAAAAAAAGTGTCGTTCATTGAAATCCGGAAAGGTTGATTTCAATCGTAGAAACAGCCATTGGATCAGGGTGTATCAATGAGTTGTGAAGAAGTTTGTTAACTGCGTGAGTATATAAAAACATTTCAGTTCATACCGTTTTTCAGCACACACAGAATTACAAAAGCTAGGAAATTACTAATTAACAATATTTTACTTGACTTGCCTCTTCATTGAAGACCACAAAAATGTTAAAATAAGTGTCAAAAAAAATCGCTTTGTGGAGCTGTTTTTATAAGTATTTTCAATAAGATCGCGTCATGAAAGTTTGTTAAATTTCAATATTCTGTTCGGTACAATTGTCTATAGTGAAAAAAAATTAATAACCTACGTATTGTTATAATCTTATTTATATATTCATCTACATATTTCTAATTTGTAATGAATAAAGACATTGGGTGAGATGAAGGAAAAATTTCTAGCGTCATTTGTTTATAAATTCTTAATAAACGAATAAACTATGTGAGTATCATAAATCGTTGTTTAATAATGTTCTTGTCTTCATAATATGATTGAAAAAAATTATCAATGACAATTTTCAATGTGTATGATCGGCTTTTTTATATTTCGAATGTTCAAATGATCAGATAGGGAATGCCTCTATGAATCAACAGAAACAAAAATCAATAAAAATTCCAACTGTCTATAATAAATTTTCAACTGAAAAATTTATTATAGACACATCTTTCAGATATAATTTGATTCATTGTCATCTATGTTCAAGATACCTTGAAGTAACTACAGCTTTCGGATGCAAGCTTAGTTCATTTCCTATACATTGTTTCTTCATCTATCATGATATCACTATATTCGTCAAATGTATGAATAATTGCATAATTGCATAATTCGAAAAATGAAAGTTATTGTCCAAGCTAGAGGTGACAACACCGTTGGCTGCTTGTGTTATCATTTTATTGTTGTTGTTGATGTTTCGATAAATACCGTGAAAAATAAATAATATGAAGAGAAAACGCGATACGCCAATCAAAAATGTATAAATCCGAAACGAATCGTGATATCGATTGAATGAATAAAACAATGTATTTTGAATGAACTAAGTTTGCATACAGGATTGTTTTTGGTATCATCTGAAAGGTGTATTTAACCACAGTGTGTTTCAAACCTGGATGATAGAAACATAACTGTTTGTTTTCCCTTGTATAATGCGTATAAATTGGACCTTATTTCCTAAATGTTTGATGTCTATCAATGTGAAATGAATGGTCTACCCATTTATTGAAAATAATATCAAAAGTAGGCTGAACATGAAAAAGTATTTCAAAATTTGTTAACAAGTCGAAGTGGTCGTTTTTTATGCATCTGAATGCATTTCCTAAATGACGCCAGTCATCCAGACATGCCTTATGAAAAGTATCACAACCTCTTGTATATTTTAAAAGTGTTCATTTCATTTCAACCAACGTAGTGAACGTTTTCATAAACGTTCATGACACACAAGAAATAAAATACAACTGGATACGATTTTCACTGATTTCCGCAGAGCCTTTGACAAGGTAGATCATGACATAATATTACAAAAATAGAATGAATATGGATTAACGATATATTCTTTGAAATTGATCAAAAGTTATTTGGAGAATAGATTGCCCATTGTGAGAGATGATGGTAACACATCTGGTAAATTTCTTGCTTGTTCGGGAGTGCCACAAGGCTCTACTCTAGGACCCCTTTTATTTGTCATATTTAATAATGATCTGCTGTTTGTGTTGAAGTTTTCGAAATGTTAACTTTTTGCGAATGATCTAAAGATATTCAAACAGGTAAAAACGATTAGAGATTATGTGTTATTGCAGAAAGATCTAAGATCTGAACAAAATTCATGAATGGAGCTGCACAAATAAACTTTACTTCAGTTTAGAGAAGTGTTGCATAATATCAATAACTCTTCCGAAATAAATCTTTTTTTCTTCAATATTAAATGGATGGGGAATTTCTGAAACAGCGACTGAAAGTTAGATTTTGGAGTAACATAATTTTTTTTTCTCAAATCATATTCATGATATAGGTAAATCAAGAAATCGTATGTTAGGATTCACACAAACATTAATATTATTGAAATGCTCTACATTCCTTAATTAGACCAAAACTAGAGTTTGCATGCATGATTTGGAGCGGAGAATATCAATCCACCCTAGAAGAGGTCGAAAAACTACAGAATAAATTTCGCAGGTATCTGTATTTTGAATATTATTATTTATGGCCTAACTATCGATCAACTCACCTCTCAGATTAATTCAAAATAATGTCTCTGGAAAATAGACGAAACCTGACGATGTTGCTATTTTTTTATAATTTTAATTCACCATTGATGTTATCTTGGATACCATTTCATTTGCCTGCTCGTCGTACTCGTTCATCTACCATGTTGAATGTACCTTTGCTACTACGTATTAGAAATCCCTTTTGTAGCCATGCTTCTACTGATTTTTCTGTCTGATCCCCCACAATATCGTTTATATAAGCTGTCTGTCTGTTTTTCCGTTAATCAGCTATCGCCCCCTTACGAACGACAACTCTCAGGAGTTGACAAACTTGTACGAACTAAGGACTAACGAGGTCTTACCTTCTAATGTGTGATTCCTAACACGATAGCTGAGAATGTATTTAATGCATGTTTTGCATTAATATTATTTTACGTTAAATATTGTATATATTTTATTCATGTAATTAGACGTGATTCGTAGCCATGCTTCGACTTATTTTTCTGTTTGATCCCCCACAATAATGTTTATATAAGCTGTCTGTCTATTTAAAATCTGTTTTTCCGTTAATCAGCTGTCGCCCCCATACGAACGACAACTCTCAGAAGTTGACAAACTTGTGCGAACTAAGGACTAACGAGGTCTTACCTTTCAATGTGTGATTCCTAACACGATAGCTGAGAATGTATTTAATGGATGTTTTGCATTAATATTATTTTACGTTAAATATTGTATATATTTTATTCATGTAATTAGACGTGATTGGTCTGTTTGGATACAAAACATTAAATTAAATAAAATAAAAAAAAGTACTCTTAAATAAGTGAGTGAGTGAAATGTATTCAATTCAGTTATAAGACAGATACATATTCGTCTATGAGAGAAGGAAAAAATAGATTTTTCAATTCTAATGAATGTTACTACCTAATAAGTAAGCTTCTATTGTAGCCATCAAACGAAATAGTAATCCTAATCCTATATTATCAGACATACTGATTTTGCAGGGTGGACAAAGAAATAGATAAGAAGAAGGTTGAGGTCAAGAGAGAGAAAAGGAGAGAGAGAGAAAGAGGCCGAGAGAGAGAGAGATGTGCTCTAGAAGGTACCTCTAATAATAGTTTTTCTTTATTCAAGTATCAGTAGGAGCGTATCATTGTCGATGTCAACACTTTTATCCAACTCTTTTCTGAATTTGAGTTTGTTTCTCATGACTCTCAATGATTCAAGTAGAGATACGAAATACGTTATAAAATTTTAAATATACGTGAGTCTGCATCGTGAAACATTCATGGTTTCAACTGAACTGTTACGAGTATTAAAAGCATGCTGTACGTATTCAATTTGAGAACTAGCATTCCATAGTAAACTCTGATAAATGTAAGTTTTTCTAACTCTTAATAATCCAGTTTCATCATACAATGACTGAGTACAATACCTCCGATCTTTTTCCATCATAATTTTCATTAATGAATTTTGAACCACTTTGAAGTCAACTAGGGATGTCTTGAAGGTACCACGGCATACTACTTCACACTAACGTATTATGGAGTAACGCTTCATCGTGATATTTTCACCAAACAGCATACAAAACCGCAATACGTGCTTCACCATGAAATAGCTTCATCAAGCACGATTGTACAGCATAAACACACATGAAAAAGCTTCGATATAGTGAAACATATGTTGCAATTTTTTAAACTTATCTGAAAACCACAATAGAGTGTTACCTGAATTATAATGGATTTTCATCAAGTTTCGGTCACTTCCATCGCGAAAGCTTTTTTTCTCATTTTGATTAACAATCAATCAGTTCATTGCAAAATTGTATATTGTATGAGTGAAGATAGCTTCCACTATTCAGTTTATGAGCACTTTATTAAATTCATTGGGGATACTAAAGTTAACGAGCATAAAATCTCAACTCATCTTATATCCAGTAAATGAATTCTGAACACCCAACCTCAAATATCTTGGGTACTGAGTTAATGTACCATAAGGAATGATACTTTCAGCTGCCACCTAAATGAGAGTGAAAAAATATAGATTTCTCATAAGACTCTCTTGACATTATAAAGACAGTTTTTATGCGGTTTTATTCAGCTTGCCCAGTTGGTCCATTTATTCATTTGGGTTAAATTTAGTAGGTAATTGCAGAAAACCTTCACCCCAGATCCTCATTCAGATATGCAACCTGCTGCTGCCAGTGAAAATGTGCATTCGCAGACGATGTTCTGGAATCCAAATGGAATGACGAGTGGAGTGTGTTGTCGTCAGCAAAGCAAAATATTGAAATCTTGATTTTTCTCAATTAGTCTTTGATATAAAATACAAAGATGGTTGGAGACAATATGATACCCTGGAGCACACTAGCATTGATGGTAAAAGTATTCGAGAATTATCCATCGATGACCACTTGCAGTGAACGTTCTTTCAGAGAGCTGGAGAGCTAAACACAAAAATGATTCCACAAGTAATAGCATCGAAGTTTGGCCAACAAACCCTCATGCTGACCCCAGTATTTTTTTTGATTTACAAGCCGATATACCGAAGTTCTTGGTACGTTCTAAGCTTTCGCAGCCTTTAAGTACCCCATAGTTTTTTCTCGAACAGCTTCTACTGCAGCACTCATAACCTCTCGACTCCACTTTCTTTGTTTTTCATATTTGTAAGAGGTAGTGGAAACGATCAACTTTGAAGTAGCCCCAAGTTTTCTACACTAATTGTGCATATAATTCAGAAAATTCCAAATTGCCTTCACCTGCCCGTATACCAAATTTGCAACAAACCTTCCATAACCTCAAAATGCTGTAATATTTTCATGTCTCGAATTTGTTGCAAAATGAGC